AACATGTTTCTTATAAGCGCCCTTTTCGTGTGAGAGGGGTGAGAGGAGAGGTAATGAACCAAGATATTTTTACTACTTGGCTTTCGGTACCACTTTGTAATGTAGCCATTTTCTGATAGGTGAATTTGTACGTTCAAAAATGGAAGCCATTTTTCTTTCGGCTTTTCTCGACAAAATCTACAAATTGTTCTCTATTTTATTCCAGAATAATAAAAAAAGCTCTCGGCGTTGACCAATCCCTGAGGAATATGCCATGCATTCGGCTTCAATAAGGCTGGTTGGAGGTGACTGAATGCATATCTGGCCTTTACAATGGTTTAAAGTGGCCACCCGATATATCAAGCAAGTGCTACTACCCTCCCAGACAGGTGTACCAATTTGGGAACCCGAGGGATGGAAGGCTTCGTCGTCGTTGAGCACCAGGAGTCATCTCTTGTCTATTGCAGGGCGCCTCCGATCACTGCGCTAAACGCGCCATTTTTTATTCTATCATATTTACGAAATTTGATTCAACATGTAATTCAACAGAACGAACTTTTGCATTAAACAGAAAGAAACAGAAATTTCTAAGCAACATTCGGACTCAAAATTCAACCGAAGTACAACACAACAGGCCTTCGAAATTATTCTTCAATAAATCTCTAGTTTCCCATGACCGACTTTCTTTTAACCTCGGCATTGATTGATAATTTGATGTTTTTCTTTAATAAGCAGACACGAGGTTGTTATTATAGAATTTATTAGAATACAACAGCTGACGTTTCGGCGCTTTCGCCTTCTTCAGAACCTGGAAAGGTCAAATCGAGATGCGATCTACCCAACCAAACGTTTTCATAACCCCAGCAGATAAAAACTTAACAAAGAAATTTGTATTCGCATGAGAAACAGCTTCATTTAAACACCTACCGTTTATTTGTTGTAAGTGCTTTAGTTGATGGATAGCAGCCACACAGAGTAATACATGGGCGATAACTGTGTCTGTGTCAGGTCACTGGATTAGCCCGAGGTATAGCGCCAGGTCACGGGTGATGACAAGACACTTCTTGCGGTTCACTTTTGAAATTTTGGAATTGATCCAAAACCCTTCAAGAGTTTTACTCTTGTTTCCTGAGAGCTGTTTTCGCTTCGTGCGTGAGGATAGTGACCCCTACTTCAAAATCTTCGTTGTGTTCCTGCATCCTATGCGCGCCTAGTGGAGTGTTTGGTTTTAATTTAGATTTGCCGACTAGGTGTTCTTTTATGCGAACGCAGAGCGGTCTATCCGTTTTGCCAAATCAGATAGACTGTACCCGAACTCATGCATTCACCGTCTCTTACCGTTAGGGCAAATTATGCAGTTTTTCTTTATACAAAGGCGGTTGCGAACTAGCAGCCGTCTAAGAGTGTCCGATGGTATTTTTATCACTCTTACGGAATTCTCTAGACCGACCCTTATTAAGCAACGTTTTATGGCTGCACTTATTCTGTTTGAAATAAAGGGCAAGAGGAACGGAGTCTTGTTTTCGCTATCGCTCTGGGGCGTGGGTTTTCCTCTATGCCTATACCAAGAAGCTACAGTTTCGTAACCATTTGAAATGGCTATTTGGCGCGCCAGTTTCGAGGACTCTTCCCTCTGATCTCTACTTGTGCACACGCTGGCAGCAGTTCGAAACATATTTCTTATAAGCGCCCTTTTAGTGTGTGAAGGATGAGAGGAGAGGTAATGAACCACTACATTCTTACTGCTTGGCTTTCGATACCATTTTGTGTTGTAGCGGTTTTCGGCTAGGTTGATTTGAACGTTTAGAAATGGAAGCCAGTTTTCTTTCGGTTTCTCACGGGTCAATTTTATGTACTCTGATTGTTCGCTCAATAACTCAAAGCATTTGTCCATCTACTCTTGCGTGGAGCAGATAACAAAACAATCGTCTGTATACCTACAGTAGTGTAACGGCTTGAGATCTATTACTGGTGCTTCCACTTTAGACATAAAGCCAACGGCAAGGGTTGCTGCCAGTCGCTGTCCCATTGCCAACTCTCTAATTTGTGCGTAATATTTCCCGGACCATCTGAAGATCGAGCAGTTTAAAAAGACCTTTAGGAAGACGATAAGCTGCTGAATCGAAAAGCCATACATGTTAATTGCTCCTTCGTGTTGCTCAAGAAGCTCGCGGATGGCTTGCATTGCGGAGTAGTTGGAAACGTTTGTGTAAAGGGCGGTAACGTCGAACGACTCCATAACGTACGCGCTTTTGGGACGTGCGTTGCTCAAACGGTTTAGGAACATTTGGGCGTTCGTGAGATGGCTTCGTATGTACTTAAGCAACTAGTTGAGGATTAGATTTACAAGCCAAGCAATTCTATCCGCAAGCCCGTCTACGCAACTGATGATGGGTCTAACTTTAAAGGTGGTCGGTAGACACCAGATCATCAGCGGATATTAACTTATGGGTCTTGATAAGTAAGTATAAAACGGGACATGTCGGCACTTCGATCTTAAGATGCGAAATTTGTGCTGGTTTTAAACCTGCTGCACTTGCCATTTTGACCTATTCGTTGTTCGACTTTCGATTCTGACTTCTGAATTCCTTTTCAGTAGATGCGAGATAAAGAGATGAGTCTTCAAGATGTTTTTCCGTTATATCGACATCTCACTGGCGAGGAATTACTACAAACTCTCCACCCTTATCACTAATTAGTAACCTAAAAGTTTTTGATTTTATTAGCTCTCGAACTTGTCGCATATCTGATATTTGCGCAGCTGTAAGGTTCGAATTAAACTTTTTCGTGCGATAGTGGTCAAAGACTTTGAGAGTTTCGCTCGAAAATATACGAAATTTTATGTCGACTTCGTCCTATGGATCATGATGTCTAAAGAATAACCGAGGAAATGGAGGTGGTGGTAGTGCTCCTACTTATCGTTGTCCCTTTTTATTTCGTGTCTCAATTCTAGCGTTGCTTCGGAGTCGATCTTGGAGCTCGTACAGGTTGCACGCGATCCTATGCAAGGTTTCTTTATAAATGGGTTGCGCTGATGAGAACTTGGACCCAATTCTAATAGCGAGCGCGCGTCATCAGGCAAAATGTCTCCTATAACGGTGACCCTTGACCTTTCAGGCGCTTTATCGACCACATTTCTAGTGCGCGTAAAACCATTGAAGCGTTTTGGATCAATTCCAAAAATTCAAAAATGAACCGCAAGAAGGAGTGCCTTGTCATCACGCGTGACCTAGCGCCATACCTCAGGTTAACCCAACGACCTGACACATACACAGTTATCGCCCATGTATTACTCTGTGCGGCTGCTATCCATCAACTAACTTAAACATTTACAACAAATAAACGGTAGGTGTTTAAATGAAACTGTTTCTTATGCGAATACAAATTTATTTGTTAAGTTTTACCTGCTAAGGTTATGAAAGTGTTTGGCTGAGTAGATCGCATCTCAATTTGACCTTTCCAGGCTCTGAAGAAGGCGAAACCCCCGAAACGTCAGCTAATGTATGCTAATAAATTCTATAATAACAACCTCGTGTCTGCTTATTGAAGAAAAACATCGAATGACAAAGAACCGTTGTTTCTTGCAAGCAACATGTTTACTAATTTCAAATTTAAAGCTTAAGTCATACCGCATTTCTTTCGTTTAGTTTCTAAACGTTTGCCCACCGTGCCTCCCTCCTATGTCTGGCGGGATCAATCTCCAAAAAAGCCCCTTTAATGGTAACATGTGCGTTTGCCTGAAGGAACAACTGCTGTGGTTCAGTAGTAGCAGAAAATAGTCTCCTATTGTTTGTGCATCAAAGTTGTGTAACGCATAACGTGGTGATCCGCTACACGATGTAACTCGTAGTAACCATGCGGTTCTCCATGACGTAAATTTTCCCAACTGTTCTTTCATGTTCGCCACGACACAAGCGGCATTAGAAGATAAAATTTGACTTCTCATCGCGAACCACGCATCGGTAACTGAAGAACCCTGTTCACTGTTCGCCCTACAAAAAGCACAGTGGGAAGCTTTAAACAACAAAGGGGAAATGGTCGAAGAAAAGACGCACAGATATCATTGCTCATCGACAGTTTTGCCACACATCCCATCCTACGCGCACATTAAAACCAATGGGCATCTTTGGGAATCTATAAATGCCCCAAATAGTCCGTCCCCAAAATTTCTTACAGAAGGTGAGCTCTTGAAGGAATCCTTCCGTTATAAAAAAACCAATAATACTCTCGCAAAGTGTGAAATTATTGAACTTATTGAAGTGTGCTGTTGAAAGCGAAAATAGAAATATTCGAACCACGCTCGGTTTATCCACGCTTTAATATATTCGATAGTAAAACCGAACTTTCAAACGTATTGAATTAAAAACCAAAAGTAAAAAGTGAAAACGAACAGTTTAATTCAAAATAAAAAAGGAAACTAATATACTTAACATCTTACCATGCTGAACAAATTAGCTGGTGCAGCATCATCTTCACGAGTAAGGCTCTCAACACCATCAGTAGAGCTAGACCAACGCAACAAAAAATCAAGTTTGGATCTCGGTATCCTTTCACCCATCGCGCGAATGATAGCATCAAGCGATGACTGGTTATCCTGTAATACACCAACCATTTCTTTTGACGACCTGACATCACATGGTCTGCGGATCCCAGCACTCTTCATTGGATTCAATTCCTAGCATACACCATTCTCAAAGATTCTCGGATTTCACTCAGGAATGTCGTTGAATGCTGCCCATGGCCAAGCAGATTTTCCGAGGAATTCTTAGCCGGTTAGCCGTGCTATGGCGTTCCCAGGTCTTCACCATAGGTAGTTGCCAGCCTTTGCAATCGCGAGAGAGTTTCTCAGATATGTCTGGTACCAAATTCTCAACCTAAAGGGGATGACGGCAAGATTGTTCAGGGACGGGCTCGAATCACCGCTTTGAGACTATTTTGAACGGCATCTCTAACGGCGCTAAACCGCCTTCCATAACCAAAATCGTTAATAGCAATTATACTAACTAGGAAGCCTGCAAGATTTAACTTGCCTTCTCGCTTAGGCGAATTTTGTTAAGCGTGATAGATTCGTCGTAGCGAGAATTCCACCCAAGATAGTGAACGAAACAACGTGTAGACGTTAGGACGTCATGAAGACGAGTGAGTGCGAGAGAAGAAAGTCCGTTACCCTGCAAAAAGTAAAGTGCATATCTGGTTATGATGTCGCAGCTGCTAATGATAATGATGACGGACTGAGCGATCATCATAACGGATACATTGTAGCTTGAATTGTATACCTCATCGTCTGGAATTTCCATTATATCGATGATTTCTTTGATCGAAGGTTGTTCGACGGTTACAACACGAGCGTCGTACCATCTTCCATGGTGATGGGCTCTTACTTTCTGACCGAGGTAGAAGCGCGATGTGCTGAGACAAACACGAGATTGCTCAAACCAGTCTATTCATGGTTTCTACAGATACAAATAATAAATGCATGAGCATGCTAATAAAACAATAACAAACATGTTGGCAGGATGATATCCTTCATCAGGATCTTTAAACTTTGAGGAATCGCCGACATCTCCACTTTTCCTATCTGATCTTGCCAATTTCTTCCTTTCTTTCTTTCGCTTTCCTAAAAGCATTAGAAGTTTTGCAAAAAGAATTCTCTCTTATCATTTCTTGTTTCAAAAAGCAAAGCATTTACTAATCAAATACAAACAACTCAAAGACTAACTTACCATCACCATCCTCATCGCTGCCATCTACATCTTTTCTATCAACACTTGGATCTTTGTCACTTATTCCGAGATTATCACGACCCTCTCGTTCACTGTCGCGTCGTTCTTGTTTGTCCGCAAGTGTCAGTGCTTCAACACCAGGTTTCGCAGCAATACTCATCGGAACCACATCTTCCTCTTTGACTTCAGGACAATCCAATCCCTGATCCAAAACGTTATTATCGACCTCTCTTACTCTTTCTTCCCGTTTCACTTTTCCTTTGTTGTCTTTTTCTTTTTGCTTTTCCTCCTTTTCTTTATCCTTAGATTTGTCTTTTTTCTCTTTTCGGTCTGCCTGAAAATACATATTAGCAGATATCAGCCTAAAAATCCAGATGCGAGTTAAACCTTCTCTTTCCCCTCATCCTCTTTCGCGCGACGATCATTTTTTCGCTCATCCTCCTCTTTATCAACTTTTTTTACAACTTCCAAGGATGTGGATGCAGCAGAACACCTGGAAATAACTGTATGACTGTGGTTCCGGAGCACTTCATCTCTTAATTTTTAAAAAAGCTTACAATGAACGTTCTGCATGGCTACTAAGTTCAGGATCCCGTGAAGCTTCCTTTGATTCACGGTCTTCAATTTTTTCCTTCCCTTTCTTAGCAGTCTTTTCTTTTGCTTCCGCAGTGCTTCCTTTTCGTTTCTTCGTGGACTAAATAGAAGAACGTTGATATAATGTAGAAAGAAAAAGCATTGAATTCATACACTGAACATAAGCGACAGTGTATCGGACAAATAATGTCTGACTGTATTTCGGCTCTCACACTCTTACACATCTATTTTCACCACGCTTTTTGCCCGTGTATGATCAGAATAGAGGACATCACGCTTCAGAATGAGCACCTAGGAAATAACCCACAAATATAGAAATTGAGTTTATGCAAGGACTAAGTATAGGTAAAACACCAGTACTGCTCAGATACACCAGCCTACACGGTAAAAATCCTCCTTTTGTACTACGATGAAATCCAGGCTTTTGAAGTCAATGGAATCCATTTCCTCTCCATATTTTTTCTTTTTGCACGAATGCTTGAATTTCGAACACGAAAACAACTGAAGAAGCGGGATTCCGTCCTGAATAACAACACAGCGTTTCCCATTACGTTTGCTTTGTCGTGGATGCATTACTTGTGCTCGGAGTTTTATAAACAGAAATCTGGGAATTTTCTAGAAAAAAAAAAAGGAAAGGTTTCGGGAGTTTTAATCACAAACATAACTGAAGTGGGAAGAAATGTTTGAGAAATAAAATTACAAAGTACCTCTTATAAACACGTGAAGCTCACAATTCATCAAATCATTAACTCATTAGAAAATCCTCATCAGTTGTCAAAAAACCAAGCTTAGGGCATTGTTTGTTAACTTTCGCGAAATTACAGGAGGACAGTATCGGAAAAATTGATCAAATTCCGGGAAAACCCCAAATTTTGCAATCAACATTGGTTAAACCAAAAAAGGTAATGCCTTTGCAATACACGTAACCTCACGTCATAAGGATTGGAATTTGAAGCTGTTTCGCTGAATACCAAGCACGCTTCGTGAATCCCAGAACTGACTTCCTTTTAACTTCGGTGGTGATCAACATTTCACTATCTTCTTGATAAGACATGAGACTGTTATTACATCATTTATTACTAACAGATGCTTCGGCGATCTTGCCTTTTTCAGAGCCTGGGAAGGTTAAATTGCCATGAATCTGCGCAGCTAACCACTTTTATAATCTTAACAAATAAAACATAAAACATAAATTTTTCATTCCCATAATAAAGTCCTCTTTTAAAAACTCATCGTTTTCCAAACCGATCATCCTTTAACCTCAGCATTAATCATAAATACCTTTCTGGAGTATTGAGCTAAAATAAAGTTGATAAAAAAGTTATTCAGCTAACGTTTCGTCTTATTCAGAATGGGATTGATCCAAGTCGATGATCCACATCTAGTCGCTGTCATGATGTGATTATTCGTTCACCCATCCAATCGAATCAAATGGAGGTGCATCATTTGAATGGTTCAATTCACTCGGTGATGCCCTTTTACGCAGGACGGATGTTTATTGATTGCCACCATCCAGTATGACCTGCTATACTGAATTCAGGAAAGTATTGATTATTAACGTCGAGGTTAAGTAACTGTCGATTTTGAAAATATGTCGAGTCATTTTCGCCGTACTAGCTAATATAACACCGATTGCTGTAGGATACACTACCGGCAAAAAGGCATATATTAGATAGAAGCAATCGATAAACACCCATCGTGTATAAAAGGGCACCACTGAGTGAAGGTAACCATTCGAGTGGTGCATCTGCACTGGATTTGATTTGATGAGATTACGAATAACCACATCGTGACAACGACCAGAAGTGGATCATCGACTGAGATCAGTCCAGCTCTGAAGAAAACGAAGACGTCGAAACATTAGCCTGATAACTCATCGTTTTCATCGTATTTTTGTTGAGCAAACGCGAGGTGTTATTCTTTATTCACGAATAAGTTGACGTTTCGGCGGATTTCGCCTTCCTCAGAACCGCTTTCTATGAGGTTTCCACTAAGTATTTCACGTAGATCGTGCAGAAGTCGGTGTTGTTATCAGCTAGCACAAAGCGTAGTAATATTTCGAAACCAACTTTCCCTGAACCTCGGTATCACAAATCAATATGTATTCTTTCTTTGATGAGCTTACACGAGGTTGATAATAAAGTTTATTTTCGGCTAACGTTTCGACGTCTTCGTCTTCCTCAGAGCCGGTGATCCGAGTCGATAGTCCCCGCTTGTTATTCGCCTCGACGTGGCAGCTTCGCCTTCGTGTCGAGTTAGGTCTTCTTCAGTGAGCCATCTCCTCGAATGAGGCATCTTTACTCAGTGATGCCCTTTTATACACGATGCTGATGGTCGATATAATGATAATGTATGTCACGATAATGATAATGTATATAATATGTAACGTAGAGACCAACCGCACAGAAATCACATGGAAGCATAATGTGTTTTCATCGTTTTCTTCCTTTTAAGTCTTCCAGTCATTTGGTGGAGACCAGGTGCACGGAATCCTTCACGGGCGAGAAATAACTCTGGCATAGCTCAAAGAACCAGCCTAAGGTATGGCGAAATGGTCGCGCGTGATCACGAGGTGCTCCTACTTGCGGTCCCTGTTTGGATATTTTGGGTTTATCGAAAACCCCTCAATAGTTTTACGTGGTGTTTTGGATTCCTGTGTAGGACAGTCACTTCCACTTCAAATCTCCCTTATGTCTCTGCATAAGAGTATGTGTAGTGCAGGGGTTAGATGCTACTTGCAATGCACACTTGGGATCCATCCCCGTGCTCATGGCTGACCAAGCCTTCCATCTCTCCGGAGTTGGCATATTGGTACCAGACATGTCTGGGAGAATAGCAGCACGGGACCGATACGTTGGTAGACCATCGCGATTCATTATAAGGGCCATGTAAAGGTCATGCATTCAGTCATCTCTATCGATGCTTAATAAAGTTGAATGCATGGTGCATACCTCAGGGATTGAAAAACACGCACAGCTTTATCCTTTATCCTCCTTTTACCTCAACAACTGCTTGCGTACTTCAACAGCGTGACTACTGATGGAAATATCTCAAGAAAATTCAAATGCTCGATCCAGGAAAAAATCCCGGGCTAGAACTTCACGGAAGTAAAATGTCTCCAGTTAACAACCGTTTAAAGAATAAGAATCTTCTTAACATTTGATTTTATACGATCCGACAGGTCACCTCTTCTATCCATTTTCCTGCATCCACTATCCAATAGTGTATTCTGATTTTTCTATTTTAGTTCAGCACTTCGTAAAGATTTTTGGCCTTTTCATAAACGCCGCTGAATTTTGGCTCACTCGAGTCTTCCTTGAATCTTGGGATAACCTTGCTAAGGAGTTCATAGGTTACGTTAATCGTAGCGAGGATTCCGCAGATGTCTAGTGTCCAAATCCCCGACGTTGAAAGCATAGAATTTGTTCTGGAACGGGATTTAACCGGAGCCTTGGGAGTATTAAATGGCATCCCTACGATTGCAGTACTCACACCCAAGAGAATGTCAGGAGATTTGAAGAAAATGTTGAAGGATAAGCTTCATCCTGTTACACTACTTTTGATTAGTCTGTCAAGTACTCCCAACAATTACTGCCACCACATAAATATCATCCGTCCTTGAAAAATAATAGCTGCAAGACAGCAAAGCTCTTCCTTATTCACTCGAGAAATGATGGTTGCAAAAGAACGAAAGAAGGAAAACTCAATGGGAACGTTGACATCCACAGATCATACAACGACCGTTAGCTGTGCTTATAGCAAGTATGTTGGAATTTTTTAAAGTTTCTATGGTAATCACGATAACGGCGAAGATCAACGATATATTGCCGATACCATTGTTTCCTAGTGGACGAAACAATGTTTGCTCAACTGCATTATTCCTTTAAATGCGAACCACTACGACAAAAAAAATTAGGGATGAGGAAACTTCTTTAGTGAAAGGTACGTAAAAACGGTACTGAAGAAGGTGATACTGCCGAAAGGTCAGCTACTGTTGTATTGTATGTGTTCTTGTATGGAAATAAATGTATGCTGTATGAAAACCTCGCGACTGCTGAGAAAGAAAACGACGGATTTATAATCGAATGCCGAGATTAATAGAAAGTTGATCCTAGAAACTGTTAAAACGAATGAAATTTTTATAAGTTTATAATAATGCATTAAAGTTCAAACGAGGAAGACTTGACGCTACGATGATGGTAGATCGGTGAAGGAGCTTGTGTTGATTTGTATGTAACTTATAGAGGGTGGTGTCTACAATATGCGTGCATTTGATATCCACTGTATTTATGATTACGGGTACACAGAGCTCACATTCAACGATTCGTACAGTTCTGTGTACAATTTGGAAACACTCAATATTCTCAATCTTGTTCTGACATATCACTGTTGCTGTAAGCACACCACTCGAACATATTCATTTTGCAATATACAATTCTTATAACTTCCCAATTCACCATTTCACATGTAGAACCTGCACGAGGAACTATTACAACGTACAGTTTTTTCTTGGGACATTTCATATGTTGTTTCGGTTAATGCTCGTAAATTTCGGCTTCATTAAGAGTGTTGCAGAACGCTGGTCGAGAAAACATTCCTTGCAGTTTTGGGGATATCTGGGCTAACGCACTTCGACTTGGATGAGAGCGATGGGAAGGGTGTAAAATCAACATTTGTCTTCCTGATGGACTTCATCACTAACCAGTTAGCTGCCTCTCCTGTTTTCCTGTTTCCAATTTTTGTAATTCTTAGCTTTTGTGGATTATAAAAAATAAAGCAATATTTGTTGCACTTGCTGGCTTCCTACCGCGCTAACTCATCTGCAGTGCATCTAGAATAGTGATATTTTATCTCTCTATAAAAACGCACACAAGTTCTTCATTTCTTCTTCTTTTTTTGACAACGGAGTCTCTTTCAAGACATGAAGAACACAAGATGAACACATTCACCTAAGCCATCAACTGTCACTTGTAGTCTCGTTGATCGTCGAATGACTCGAGCAGGCGTCATAAATCTTCCATTTTTCCTTGTCACGTGTAAAAGTGGCCCAGTGAGTTCTGCTCGCCTACCAACTATAGTGATAATCAAATGGAAGTTCATTCCATTTATCGAAATATGCACATTCTTCGGATTTCTTAACTTAACTGGTTGCGACACGTGCCGCAGTTATTTTTGATAACGTTCTTGTCTATCCCTTTACTTGAGCACCATTATATCGCTCTTTTTCTGTTCCAATTGACTTCTGCACAGCTTCTGCTGGAGAATCTGTTAGGGAAAGGGAAGTCTTTCTTTGTTCTTCCCGCACGCGAATTCAAATGGGCCTTCTTCCTCTGTAGTCTTTTAGCAAAGAAGGCACTCGTGTAATAAGCACTCGTGAACAGGTTACTTTCTTGACTCAATAAGTCGTTCATGAATTGCATTATTGTCCACTCGAATGAAAGAGTGAAGGATAAAGCTTTCGGGGCTGATCATTACCTCAGGGATGCGTCATGCATTCGACTTCATTAACTGTCGTTAGAGGGGAATGGAAGCATGTACTGCCTATGCATTGACTCTCAGTGGCCTACAGATGTATCGAGCCAATGCTGCTATACTCACACAGATTTGGTACCAATTTTCCGGCCCCGGAGGGATTGGTGAGCTTGGGGAGCAGAGTCGAACCTCTGTGCATTTCATGGCACCTCTAACCACTTCAATACACGCGCCTCCTCAATAGTTTCAAATTCTCGACTCTTTACTTGGATACACTATACACTATAGTTAGATGTGCAACCCTCCTGCAGAAGTGGAATAATTTAAACACAACTTTAATTTATTATTTACTTCCCATTCGTTTTAATGGCAGGGTATATTGCGAAATATAACTTCGACGATGCTGAGATATTTGCAATACTCCGGACCGCATTTGTCTGCGGTGGGGAACGAATGCGTTATCGTCCTTTCCGGGAAGTAACGCGTTCACCACCACACCATACGGATCCTTGGTTTCACCTGTAATCACCGGTCAGCGGGATTGATCTGGGGAGCCCAAATCAGCAACGAACCCAGTTAAGCTGAGGCTGTAGTTATAATCACAATTTTAATTCATTATTCACTGCCTACTCTTTTCAGGGTATATTGGGAAATATAACTTCAATGATGCTGAGATATTTGCAATACTCCGCGCCGCAGATGTCTGCGGTGGGAAGCGAACACGCTGTTGTCCTTTTCGGGGAGTAACGCGTTCACCACCACATCATGCGGGTCCTTCGTTTCGCCTGTCTCTCAGCTAGGTCTGTCACCTGCGGTCCGGAGTTTTGCAAATATCTCAGCATCATTGAAGTTATATTTCCCAATATACCCTGAAAAGAGTAGGCAGTGAATAATGAATTAAAAT